TGACTTGGCCGGAGAGAAACGCTCCTCCAAAGCCCGCGTTTTTGTTGGCTCGCCAAAGAGGCTAAGTTACTTTCTATGTCTGATTTACGAGCAGGCCCTTCGTCCTCTTGGCGGGAGAGCAGAGGAGTGACCGACGGATGCCAGATCAGCTTTGCTGGGGCAGGGAGGTTCCCCTCGCCCGGCACCTATCTCCGGCGGCGTCCAGCAGCAAACGCGTGGAGCACCTTGGACGCAGACGGACAAAGCCATCTCCAGCCGCTGGCCCAGGCAGGACTTTGCTGGGCTGCAGCTACCCCAGCGGCACCAGAGCTAGCAAAGACCCCTCCTTGCCACCCTGGTTTCTTCATCCGTCCTGTAAACAAACCTCACCCAGTGCAAGTCGTGGCTCTAAAAGGGGGATGAGAACAAATTCACGTGGAGAGACGTTCCCCTCCTCGCACAGCCTAAGCTCTGACCCCAGGGCCAATTACTGCCTCGTTAAGCTGAAGGCAAGACACCTGCCTGGCACTGCCAGCAGACCCAAATTCATTACAAATCTCACTGTGTCCTTGTCAGCCCAAGCTTTGTGATCATGGCTTGTAGCGGTAAGAGCGGATGCACGTACAGCCAACCGAGCAAACTCGGGCGCTAGGCTTCGACGCACGCAAGAGGGGGCAACGTGAAGGCACCTGCTGGTTGGGGTCTGGGAGCCTCTGTGGAAGCTTTGCTGGTGATGTCAGTGGGGTGGAGGTCTCAGCTCGGTTTGCAGCTGTGTCCAGGGGCTCTCTTGGGTTCAGGTGGAGCCTATCTGCCGTAGCGCTGGGAGGGGGCACGCACAGGTGGGGGCTGGGGGAAGCCCTTTTCTCCAGCCAGCTCTAGGGGTGGGGAGACAGCATAAGTGAGAGGGTGGAGCAGGGCTCTTGGAAGTATCTAGGCTCTTTCTGATGTATTGGGTTGGCTCTTGTAAATCCTTTTATTGAATTTTATGATTTTCTGTTTGCTTGGAGGACCACTGGAAGCATTTTGCAACTGTGGGATTGCAAGGAGCTCTCAAAGTTTCTCTCAGTGGAAGAGCTGAGAGGGGTGAGATCGTGTGCCAGCTATTTATGCTGTGTGTTGTGGATGTCTCCCTTATTATTTTGGACAGTTTTCCTTGCTCAGGAAGACGAGTTTCCTTGCAGACAGCAAGAGTGGAAGGAGCAGACCTGTCCCCAGTCACTGTCAGAAGACCTCCCTTCCTCAGCGTCTTCTGAACTCAAATTGCTGCTTTCCAGTGGAAACTCAGTCCTGCGAGTAACTCCAGCAGGATGGCACCTGGGCTACCGGGTGGGAAACATCAGTAGTGACAAAGCTGTAACAGCCAGGAAGCCTCTTCCTTCCTGGCCGAGCAGAAAGGGAGACTCCAGCGCTACGGGAGCTGCTGCAGCAGGAGCAGCTGGGCAGGTTCGGGGCTGGGAAGGAGAAGTGACAACCACCGTGGCAATACGCTGCCCTGGGCTTGCTGCTGTCTATGCACACGAGTAACGTGGGCTGTCTGGATTGGGAAGAGCGACTGCTGCTGATCCTCTAGTCCAGCTGAGCACAGACTCCGCGGCCTCCCAGCGGGGAACTGGTAAGACTGGGGGTCTCTGGCCCGGCCCGGCGTGTCGCCCGACGCGAGCGGGGTTGCAGCCCTCGCTGCTGGTGAGCCCCAGAGCAAAGCTCCCGCTGCTGCCTCCCTCCCCGTGGGGTGCTGGTGGCCGGGAGCTGCCCCGTGCTGTATCCTGGCGGGGGGGGAA